ATAAATGCTTACAAATATCTGAAGGGTGGGTGTCAGGAGGATGGGGCCAAGCTCTTTTCAGTGGTGCCCAGTGACAGGACAAGGGGCAATGGGCACAAACTGAGGCACAGGAAGTTCCAGCTGAACATGAGGAAGAACTTCTTCCCTCTGAGGGTGACGGAGCACTGGAACAGGCTTCCCAGGGAGGTTGTGGAGTCTCCTTCTCTGGAGATATTCAAGACCCGCCTGGACAAGGTCCTGTGCAGCCTGCTGTAGGTGACCCTGCTTCGGCAGGGGGGTTGGGCTAGATGACCCACAGAGGTCCCTTCCAACTCCTGCTATTCTGTGATTCTGTGATTCACAAGGATAAAAGCAATTCCTTCTGGGTATTTATCCCCTAATAGCTAGGTGGGTTTTTTCCTACTTGATAACCCTTATTCCCAGCACTTCAATGAGAAGGGTGCCTTTTGTCCAGAAAGGCCTTCAAAATCCAAACAAGGATTTAAAATACTTCCCAAGAAAGACGAAGAGGACACTTCTTTTCCTAGATCAGTCTTAATGTGCCGCAGGGCATAACAGCAACCACACTGCAACACCCGCAAAGACTTGCTACAACACAAAACCTGGATGAGGGTACACACCTACCCTCAGCAAACCAACAAGAGCTGAAAACTGACAAGTACTGACACACTCTGCCTTACTTCCTGTGCTGCAGCAGAGCTCGGCGGCAGGCACATCTCCCAAAACAGTCACTGGTTATCTGGTTTCTCTTTCAAAGTTTCTTTCTAGAGGGACATGGATTTTTTGAAATCTCTTGTATGCTGTCATTGCAAGCTATGACTATGGTTATTGGAACTAAAGCAGAGGAGAGAATTTCTTTTCCTATTTGCAGTTCAGCTTGATGCACCTGACAACCCTTCTTGTTTAATCAATTCCCCTATTACGCAGGTCTTTAGATATCATAAAAAGGGAAATAACAAACCTATTATGGAATATGAAATCATAAGAGGAGAGGAGAAAGAAATGAGCAAAAGAATTCTAAAGCCAAACTAATCTTGCTATTTTAAACTGCTTCCAAACTCTTTTTGGAAGGGGCGTTAGCTAACAGAAAGTCCTATTCGCAATACTAATTACACATAGACTGCTAAATTCCTAGCACCCTAAGCATATTCTTCACTGAAGGCATGACTGTGTTTTGACTTCCTTGCTAACCAAGCAGAATCAGCTACCTGTCCACTTCCCCCCTGTCCTCTTTTGCCTACTAGAAAGCAGCAGCTGGGAAGAGGGCATTGGAGCAATACAGCAGCCTCTGAAGGACTTTATCTTGCACAGAGGTAAAAGAAACAAAGCAGCTGAGGAATGAAGGAAAAAATCTGCTTAACCTCTCCATCATGTCAGTCCAACCTACCCTCCTGAACTGACACAGAACGCAGAGAGGGTGACAGCACAGACCCACCGCAAATCTGCTAAGAGAAAACTATATAAATTACTTACCTTTAAGTTACACGCCATGCCCTAAAGGAATGTAAGAACTGGAGAGTAAAATTTACCATCCCATCTTGAAATAAAGGCAAATGAGGTAACAACAGTTCATATAGAGTACTGTACCAACCACAAATTACTTACATGAATCCATTCTCTCTCTGACATTTTTCTAGGGTGTTCTTAATCAAACTTCCCAATTTCCTAAAGAAGAGATGTCCAGAAGGTTTGGCAGTAGTCCCAGGTCCTTTGGTTTCTCCATATTCTTTGCACAATGCTTCAGACTTGGCAAAAACTTTGCAAGAAAGAAATGCAATAAAAATCATTTACACGAGTCTATTAAATCACAGTTTTGATCTACAGTGCTTCAGTTTTAGGAGATACAAGAATCCATTCAGGCTTCTTGCTTCTTAGAAAGAAAAATAAACTACACCCAGAAAGTGAAGAAAAACAGGAAAAAAAGAGACAGCTTTTCGGACAGGAAGACGCAGGAAAGCATTCTTATGTGTGGGGCAAAATGCAACAACAAGCCTAAGAACTGTGCCACATGGTAGGGTGAAAGAGAGGGTATGAATGTGTCCACGCAGTCGATGCTCCAGAATAAATAATGCGTAATATAGAGTGGGAAAAGAAGCATTATTTTCTGAACAGCAGGCACAGTAAAAACCACAGTATTTATTTTACTGCAAGCAATCCAACTCAGTTTGTTCTTATTAAATGATTTTTATTTATTTTTAAAATTAACATTAAAAGTTTCCTGATTTCTGATTTGAGCGGTTTTTATACACCATGGTAAGGTCATGCCATGCAGGCCATTGGAGTAGCAATAGCTTTGAGGAGAGAAGGATGTGCAGAAGACCCTGAACTACTGCAAACTCCTCTTTATCTACCTTTCAAATGAACAGAAAGGAAATAAGTTACTGAAACCTGTTTAAAAACTAACAAACAAACAAACAAGGTTTAGCTTTACTATTTAATGTAAGACAGAGCAACCTCCAAAGCAGAAAAGGCTGCAGCAACTTAACATCCAGACCAGGAAATGCGATAACCAGAAAACTGATTTTTACACTGTATTGCAGGCAGTTCAAAGCCAGTCTTTAACAGGCTGAGAAGTAAAGATGCAATTTTCTGCAGCAACGCTAAGAAAGACAGTCTTTAGTAATTAAAAAAAAAAAAAAAAAAAAAATACTGTCTCTTTTCAAAAGTGTGCTGGATTTTCATCAGGTGACAGATAAAATCTTCAGTTTATGGGAGACCAAATAAACACGATAGAGCAAAACAAAACAGGCATGTCATCATCAGATCCTGTAACCCAGTCTCAATCACACTTACATTTTTCTGATTCCTGCAGAGATCTGATTGCTTCCCCGCATTTATCACTCGCCAGTAAAGTCTGACCATGGTAACAGTATGCCTAATGGGAGAGGACAAAATCACTACCAATGTCACTGGGCACTCCTGCACCAACTCACTCCTACTCTTCCTTCCGGCAGAGTTGCATCTCCTTGAACCTGCCAGTCCCTGCAGATAGCTGATGATCTGGGAATGCAAGTCAAAGCAGCATTCACTGAACAATGCAGTTCAACACAAACACCATGAGGTAGGCATGAAGCAAGCTGTCTGAAGTCTGGCCAAGAATAACCTTGAGCTTCACGCAGGCTGTTTTACCAAAAGCACTAGTAGATGGTCTAGTTCAAACCCCTCTCTCTCACCGCATCAATGTGTGGCATAAAGCCCCATCACAGAATAAGGATGAACCCCCGTCAAGTTTATAAACCAAAGGCTCTAAAAATTAAAACTACCCGAACGCTCAAAAACCGAACCTGCAACAAACATCGCTGAATCCAGAAATGAGACGTTCTGCTGCTTGAGCTGTTTTGCCATACTCCAAATAACTTTTCCACCCCAAAAAGTCCCATTCCTTCACACTCCTGTTTGAAGGCAGTACTGCATTCCAGTGAGAAATGAATGGCCTCTTTTCTACTATCAGCAGTTGCTGAGTTTAAACACTAAATACCACAGGTAAAGGAACAATCCCATGAACTAATGCTTGCCTTGCAGACCTTCCTTTACTGCCTGTTCTCACAGTCTAGCAAGTGTTACTTAAATCTACCCTTGTACATCTTACACAAAATGTAAAAAAAAAAGTACCACAGCTCTGCCCCTCCCCCCACCTCTCAAACCTGTTAATAAGGCAAGCAGCTTTTAGCTACAAGTCCAATGTATTAACTGCTTAGCTTGGGCCTTTTGTACAGTACGAAAGAGCCGGATTACAGGCTGTGGCAGGCTACAAGAAATAAACAGCAAACTGAGCAGCTGATGATCCCAAGTGCCACTGCGCTTGCTAAGAGATCAGTCTCACAGAAAGGGACAGCACTTGGAATGTAACCTAACATTACTTGATGCAGTGTCATTCAGGGCCTTCAAAAAGATGATCAGCCCTGAATTATGTCTAGAATCAGATTGTGATGCAGATAATGGAAGACAAGTATTATGCTCAACCTGAATTGCTTCATTTAACGACGTGTGATCACAATAAATTCCACACTGCAGTAATTTCACTTGGCTCAGCAAAATCACTTCAAACGCCACTGACACTGCACAGTCTCTCTTTACAGCATGGAAAGAATACTTCTATGTGGGCAATACTTAGCCTACATTCCCTATCCAGCTCTTAAACAATATTAAAAATTGTGACTGATGTCAAAAGAAGTACTTACATAGGCCATATAGAAACAGGTCTTCAAGTTTAAGTACTTCCGCCATTTACCTGCATAGGTTGGATCCAAACTGGATAACGTTTGATCTGTGAACATATATGTAAAGTTATTCTTTAAGACATTTCCAAAAAGAAAAATCATTACTCATTTGGAAGGATGTAGATAATTAACCCTCTATACACTTTATGGTCTGCATCATAATCTGCTGCCCAAAGACAGCTGAAGCAAACTCTATTTACATCAAGCCATTTGTTTGCTGTTGTTACATATTCTCAAGATATTACTCTGGCATCTATCCCCCCTCACTAACATTTCCTAACACTAACTACAGAAAAAGATTCCCACAAAAACAAAAGACCTCATAAAAATACATGTGACAGTGATAACTGAAGCCTTAAATGTACTAAATAGCAGCCAAATACACGAAGCACATCCACTGAGAAGCAGTGTTAATATCGCAATTGACAGGCTGGTGAAGTATGTCTGCTGGCAAGAACGCCCAAATCAGGTCTCTAAGGATACAAAACAAGACACTTACCAGCTTTTTGGTAGAAGTTAGCTGTTTCATAAGCAAGAGCAGCTATTAGTCCTGGATTGTGTTTCAGCTCAATAGCCCGAGCAATTGTCACTGAAAAAAAATTCCACGTCACAGTATTAAAGTTTAATTGGAAATGTCACGTCAAATCAGCAGAGGCATTTAGCATTATAAAACCCTGGCATGAGCAGAAAACAACTATTGTGCAGTCAAGCAAACTGCAGAATAAAGACAGATTGTTTCTTGGACAGAATGATTCCAAATTAAGAACAAAGCTGAAGGAAGTTTAGTGTGAAGACTAACTAGGAAACAGAAGCTGCAAATATTCTAAAGTAAAGGAACTGGGAAATTATGTTATGCAAGCATGATAGTGAAGAGACTACATGAAAGGAAGAAAGAAGAGGGGAGGAATGTCACACACAAGTTCTTCCAAAGTGGTTACATTTGTAATATCAGACTGATTTTTTTCATTTTCCTCCCGTAATTGTAACTTAAGCTTCATGGGAAGCAACTCTTCCCACTAAGCGATGGTACTTCAGGAGAAGAAAAAAATGGCACTGCTGACAGACTTCACGACACATCAAGGTAACCCACAAAAACTGACATTTCCCACCCCCAGCAAACACGTATATTTGAAGATACCTTCTTGAGCTTCAGCTTGGCACTGTATGATGTAAGAGTCTATAAGTCGAGCTTCTAAATCTCTTCCCTTTTCTACAGGTGTAATCAATCTTGGAATGTGACTTTCCTAAGTACAAAGCAAGTCTCAAAGTTAGTTTAGGCTTAACACCACTGCTGCCAATGCAAAGCAAGCCCCTTGTTCCTGAACGGATGGGACACTGAGTGAAGGTCCCAAGACGGCCAGCTGCACTGCTGCACGTGCTACTGGGCAGACAGACAGATTACCCTTCCACTGCCATTGCGAAAGAGCCGCAGGGATTGAGTGGTAGCACAACATATCAATAACCTTCTTTTTCCTGTATCATTCAGATAGTCTGAGGTATTTGTTTACTCTGTAACCTCATCAGAAAAGCAAAGGCTTTTCTAAGACTAAAAGTCAAGTTCTTGGAGACAACTTAAAGAACGGACAGCAAAGACAGATTTTCTACCTTCAAGTGTTTAAAAATCCCAGCTGCTATCTTCAGGCTTCTGTGAACATCTTTTGCTTCATCTTCTGTTATACTAAGAATACAGAACGAATCAACGAAATTCCAGTTAGAAGGGACCTCTAGGTGTCATTTAGTCCCACCTTCTGCTTTGGAGCAGGACTATCAACAACAGTACATCAGGTCAGTTATGGTTTTCTCTAGATGAATCTGGAATGCTTAAAGAATGGAGAGTCCACTAACTCTTTAAGTAACCTGTCCCACTGCTGTGCTACCCTCATGGTAAAGAGGGTTCTTAGTGTCCAACCATTGAATACTCAAATAGAACTCACTTAAGAACAATAAGACCTTGTAATGACTTTCAAGTAAAAGGTAGCCTCACTGTTAAAATCCAAAGCTTTAAAAATCTGTAAGGCTAAAAGACAGCAGAGCTGTGATTTTGAGAATCTCAGTTTTGTACTTGGACATTTGGAGAAGGACTGATGAAGGGTTTATTCACAGCTGATGCTTTCTCTGTACCGCAGTCATGCGGCACTAGTACATTTTGTTCACAGATCCAAGAAGCGACTGAAGTGCACTTGGACATTACAGGACATAAATGAAGGCCAGCTGCCTCCTGGAACTCCTACTGCCTCAGCTGGATGTACACTAACGCAGTCAAAACTCAGAACCTGCTAAATTTTTTGGTGGAATCTCGCTGCAATAGAATTACTAAGAAAAGAAAAACACTTACTCTTCTTTTCCAGCAAGTCTTGATGCATATTTTGTGTACCACAGAGCTACATTAAATCCCATGGAAACCAGTTCAAACACTGCATCCTGCTGGGCACTAAAGAAAGACAGACAAACCCCCCCCCAAACAAACCCCCAATTTAATGCTTTCCGTTTTGTTCTGACAAGCTCTCTTTGCTGACAGTTCACATAGCATAAGTTGACATTTCTCTCCATAAAGTATTTTTCATTTATGAAGTCAAGAATTTCCAATTCAGAACCTCCTACTTGCTGAACTGCCTAAAAGAGACTTCAATTTTTTAGTTATTCCCCTTAAGAGCTCATAATTATCATTTCTCACATTCAGATGCCTACTATTCCCATTTGAGAACTTTTATTTTAAAACAGTCACTTGAGATTTGTTTAGCTTTGGGTGTGGCTGACAGTTTTCCTTTTTTTTTTTTTTTTTTTTAAATTGCACATTTTACGGAAAGCTGTGTTCTGGAATGTCTACTTTAAGGTTAAAACTGCTAAGTTAATAAGTCAGAGTCTATTACATCTCCCTCAAATGAATGTTATTGCCAGTATTTATGTAACTGCAGTCAAACAGCATGTGCAAATAGCAGGAAATTGCAGAAGCTAAAAACATGGTCTTTGAAAAGCATGAACTTGCAATTACAAGTTCAGTATGGCTTAGGAACCAGTCAACTTTAAAAAGAAAGGTGACCATGAGAAAATTAGAAGAGAGTCCTAATCAACAGGTTGTCTTCCACGGGGAACTAAGTTCTGAGGAAGCTGAGCACTTCTAGATAAAGACTGACAAATTTGTAAGTGTGGTTATACAACACAACTACCTACAATAGCAAGACACAACTGAATAACACAGAAGGCTACAGATCTATATTCCTACTTATAACAGATGCTTTGTTGGCTTGTACCAAGAGTACATGTACTAGGAGCTTCAGAGGACAACAACAAAACCAGATCTTCAGCAACATTTGTACCTCAAAAAACTCCGAAGATACTGGTCAGAGAATAGTGCCAAACGAAAAAGTTTTAAACTGTAGTAATCTATGCTATCATGCTCAGGTCACCAATACTCTCAAGGTTCTTCTTTGTACTACGCTGGCCAACTGTAGATATAGTTTTTAGATCAACTAAGACACAATGGATCCTTCTACCACTATCATGCGTTATCACGCCTTTAAACAAAGGCAACGCATGCTTCAGCACACCTAATACAGTCTGACAATTACCAAAAACGCAAAGCAACAAGTTTTTGGAAACTACTTTGTGTCCAACATTTTGCTATACTTCTAAGTTCTCCTTCACACTTGTGCTGGCACACGTGCATATACCTAACAGACCAAAAGAAAACAGCTGCATACCCTATATGTAATCATAAAAGCATACGTACCTCGGAACCTGTCCTTGTAAAGTGTCTGTCCACTTGAAATTCTGAATATAGCGCAACTTGCATTCTTGGGAAGAGTCATCCAGTGAAACGATGAAACCTATAGAACAAAAAAATGTAAAAACATGACAGGCAATCTGTAATTAAGAAACAGAAACAAGTAAGGAAGGAATGGGGATCAATGAGAATATAGATACATACAAAGGAATATGTCTTGCTGTACCACTCAAAAACCCATGTTACTTCCCGAGGCAGTTATTCCTCAGTATCTTGAGAACAAGACATGCAAAAGCCAAACTGGGTACTATAAGAAACTCCTTGCCCAGCACACTATCAGTTCAAACCTATGGGTCTTGATTGATCAACGAAAACCTTGCAGATATGTGCATGTCCCATATGGTGACTAGTTAGGAGTTGGACTGACCCAGGTACAGGACGGCTGTGGCTGCTCAAGGTGAGTGAGGCACTATCACTATCCCTGACACCATAGTGGTGATCGGGAAATTCCAGCAACAGCTGCCTGGTCAACAGGGAGAGGGAAGAGGGCTTGTAAGCATGTGCTCGCCTAGTCATCGTCTCTTTTGTCTCCAGGTCTGCAGGAAATTGGTTCTTTTAAGTCCAGCAGCCCAGAAAGCAGCAGCCAGTGGCATGAAGCTCATGCTATGGGATATTCAAATCCTAGGAAATGCAAGCCGAAGGAATTTTTCAGGGAGGAATAAGACAGGCCTTGGTCCGATCAGGTCTTACAGACCAAGAACTCAAGACTTGCAACAGCAGCTACTGGGGCTACAGCTCTAGGTAGTCACATGTTTATAAAGATAGAAAATACTTGTTCCTTTCACGTGCAGAAGATTTTAGTGACCAAGCATGATGCATTCCTGAAGAAACTCTATCCAAATCTCATCTGCAGCAACATGGACTGTTACCTTTCCTTTATGTACAATGTGTCATTAGCTTATACCCTCCCAGAGACCAAGGGAACTACACCAACTTGAGCTGCTTCAATCCTCTTCACAGACTGAAGGATCACACAGTTTCCACAAATCAGCTGATTCCTGAAAACTCAGTCCTAAGAAACTTGTCTGAGCACCTGACTGCTACGAGAGAATTATCAAAATATTGGCAGGAAGAAGGTTTCAAGGGAATGCGTCATCAGCAGCGACCATCTACTGAAAATGTGGATACTATGCTAATGAGAATCTATACATACATCTGAGACAAGCAGCAGCAGAAGTGTAAACTTTCAACAAGTCCCTTGTCTAGCATTAGACAACCCAGAAGTTTACACCAAAGAGCGACTCCTTTCAAATAATTAATAGACTCAATTTATACTCCAGGACCAATTCACCACAATCTAAGAGACAAATAAACATACAATCATAGAAACGTTTAGGCTGGAGGAGACCTTCAAGATCATCGAGTCCAACCATTAACCGAACATTGCCAATTCCACCACAAAACCATGTCCCTAAACTCCACATCCACACATCTTTTAAATACCTCCAGGGATGGTGCCTCAACCACTTCCCTGGGCAGCCTCTTCCAATGCTTTACAACTCTTTCAGTGAAGAGATTTTTCCTAATATCCAATCTAAACCTCCCCTGATGCAACTTGAGGCCATTTCCCCTTGTCTTATTGCCTGATACCTGGGAGAAAAGAGACCAACACCCACCTCACTACAATCGCCTTTCAGGTAGTCGTAGAGAGCAATAAGGTCTCCCCTCAGCCTCCTCTTCTCCGGACGAAACAGCCCCAGTTCCCTCAGCCACTCCTCATAAGACTTGCTCTCTAGCCCCTTCACCAGCCTCGTTGCCCTTCTCTGGACACGCTCCAGCACCTCAGTGTCCTTCTTGTAGTGAGGGGCCCAAAACTGAACACAGTACTCCAGGTGCAGCCTCACCAGTGCCAAGTATAGGGGCACGATCACCTCCCTTCTCCTGCTGGCCACACTATTC